CATACGACTTACCGTTCGCGAGTTCGTAGGGGGGGTTCAAAAGACGCCCCCCCCCCGGTCCCCCATGTCAAAAAAGCCCGGTCTAGGTAGGGTTAAGGGGTTAGATTGAGGGTTTGAAGTTTGGAGTCTGTAGTAGTTTGTAGGTTAATATCATTGAACAGTTTGTGCGCACATCTTTAAATATAGGCGAAGTTTTTGTCCTTTTATGTAGGTGGTTCAACTAACAACAACATAGTCAGGGTTAAGTAGCTTACGCTAACAAAAGCACAGCAAGGGTCTAGAGTTGTTTGTTGAAATAACAGTAATCCTCAAGTGTTCTTTTAACAATCGAAGCTACCCTTGAAACAGTCCTGACAGGGTAGTAATGTATATCAAAAATAGGTTCAAGGTCAAGTGTTGGAAACTGCGAAACTGCATAACAAGTGCCTGTTAAACTTCTTGTGATTAGTGGACCATGACACAGCATTCAAGGTGCATGTTTTTTTTACCATATGGTAAGTTTAACATTACTAGTTACGCGTGTAGTTTGTACTGTATATCGATACAAGAAGATACCAAATGACCAAAGGTTCTGTCCAATTTGTTCAAACATGATTGAAAATGAACACCATTTTATAATGGACTGTACACTATACAATGATAAACGCTTAGCTCATCCATGGAAGGCACTTCGAATTCGTCGAGCTTCTCCATGATGGGTAGCTCCTCTATGCTATTGAAGGCCATGTCAGAGACCGACGTCTCTTGAGACTCGGTTGGGTTAAGGCAGCCTATGGCATACTATGAGTAGTATTTCATACATATGCCTGTAACTTTTGATAGCTTGGTCGCACCACAACTAAAACTTCACACATTTCTAGTAGCACTTGAAGCACATTGAATAAAGGTTATTTTGTTTTTACTACTTCTGGATTTTGGGGTTAAAAATCAACATTTTGGTTCAAAAAAGCTGTTTACTTTATGGCTTTACGCGCAAGCGGTAACAACACCTTTCATCGTGATATTTTACAAGTAGAAAGCCAACCCCCTATTTATTATTTTTGTCCGAGGCTATTTTGTTTTAAATGACAGTTACATTGTTTTTGGGGGCCAAAAACGACATAAACAGCTATTTTTCTGTCCATTTTTCGTTAAAAAATCGCCACAGTTAAAAAATATCGACTTATATACAAAATAGCCTCGGACTAATTTTGATTAAAAAGTGATATTACGTAAACATGGATTACTCTAAAGATCCATTATGTTGTTTTCAGCTGCGCGTAAAGCCGTTTAAGTCATACTCCGTGAATAAAATGCGTAACAACGCGGGTTTACAGGGGAAACATACAAATGACCGCCGGTAACCCCGAATTCGAACACGCGTTCTATTCGAATGACGTCATATCGAAGATGGTGGAACATGATTCGGGTTCGAAACAAGTCTGTGGCCATCGTGCAGACACACGCCCAAACTCGAACATGAATATCAGCCTAGGCCGCCTTAACCCAACCGAGGAGTACAGATCGAAATAGTGTTCGACCCATCTAGCCATCTGTTCTTTGCGGTCGGTGATCTTAGTTCCTGACAGGATCTCAGAGGAGCAGTTTCTTCACTGACGGCCCAAGAGCTTTTTTGATGCCGTTTTACATCCCGCGGGTATCCCCGGACTCAGCACAGCGCTGAATTTGTTCTCAAAGATCTCGCCAGTAGCTGTTTGCACATTGCCTGGCAGTACGCTGTGCGTTGCTTCGTGCGCCCCTGAGTGCCGTGAGAGTCTGTTGGCAGGGGTTGCTCTTGTAGGCTAGGAATGCCGCACGTTTGGTTTCGATGACTGGTTTCAGCGTAAGAAGGTTGGCGTCGAACCAGTCCTTCCTCCCGAACGTATTCATGGCTGTGCTGTGGATGACCTTCTTCATGGCATTCCACTTTGCTGCAGAGTCATGATCAGGTAGGGGCCGAAGGGCTTTGTCGAGGTTGGACACGTACTGTTCCACCTTGGAGGGGTTGGGCATCTGTGCAGTGTCGATTCGGGGGAGGCCCTTTGGTCTAGAGCGGTGTTGTGCACGAGGCTGTAGACGTACTTTGCTGCTGACAAGGGCGTGATCAGTGTCGCAATCGGCACTGTGATAACTCCCGGTGATGAGGACACTATTCAGTGCGGAGCGCCTGGTTATTATCAGGTCGAGTTGATGCCATCGATGAGATCTTGGGTGCTTACATGGCATTTTGTGTTGTGGTTTGCACTGGAAAAGGAGTTTGTAACGCAGAGGCTGTGGTATGAGCACAGCTCCAGTAGTCTCTGTCCATTTTCGTTCATTCTTCCAGTGCCGTGATGACCGAGGCATGTGGTCCATGCGTCGTGGTCTGCGCCCACTCTGGCGTTGAGTCGCCCAAGAGGAATAGAGACTCTTCCTTTGGGCAGTCTTTTATGAGTTTGTCAAGCTGTTCATAGAACTGGTTCTTACTGTCCTCAGGCGAGTTAAGAGTGGGGGCATAAATGCAAAGGAAGTTTACGGGCCCGGAGGCCGTGTTCAGGCGAATGGACAGAAGGCGCTCAGTACCTCCTGATGGAGATTCTACAGCACTTAAGAGGCAGTTCTTGATGGCAAAGCCAACCCTGTGCTGGCGGGGCTCATCTGGTTCTCTGCCCTTCCAAAAGAAGGTGTAGTTCTCCTCTCTGAGGAAGCCAGTGGAGGCAAGCCTGGTTTCTTGGAGGGCGGCTATACTGACGTCCAGGCGAGTGAGTTCTAGGTCAATAATTGCCTTCTTTCTAGTGTCGTGTACCTCTCGAAGATCGTTTGAGAGGCCTGTGCACA